TTATTTATTTTTAAGAAACAGAGAGAGACAGAGCACAAGTGGGGAAGGGGGCAGAGAGAGGGGAGACACAGAATGTGAAGCAGACTCCAGGCTCTGAGCTGTCAGCACAGAGCCTGACATGGGGCTCAAACCCACAGACCGAGAGATCGTGGCCTGAGCCAAAGTCGGACACTTAACTGACTGAGCCACCCAAGCGCGCCTCCCTTTTTTTTTTTTTAACCTGTCCCTTTCAACTGCCCCAATATTAAAGGAAGATGGTGTAGCTCTTGGGGGCGGGTCTTGTAAAAGAAGCACAGAGAACATCAGAAACTATGGTTGATTCAGGCAGTAAATTAACAGTAAGGCTCTGTGCCTTATCGGTCTCTCTTAGAATTAAAATACTCAAGATTTACCAAAAGGGTTCTGAGAACCATGAACTTGCTTCATCGTGAGGCCTCTGTGCATCCTTCTTAACAATGGGACCTTACCTTGATGAGTCGTCACATACATTCACCTGGGTTTTGGCCTAATTTGTAAGTTTTGTGTGATTTCAAGGAGGCGTGGGAGAAGAGCTCCGTGTTTCTATCCAACTAGTCAACGTTGCATCGTCAAGGGAAAAGGAAGGTGTGTTGGAGGTAAGTAGGCGGTTTACATTTCTCATAATTTGTTTCAAGTCATAGAAAAATTCCCGCTCACTTTTACCTAAGATGATGAGATGTGTAAAATTTACTATTTAGAGGCATGGGGTCCCAGAAATTTTTTTATTTTATTTTACTTTATTTAAAAAATGTTTTTATGCTTATTTATTTTTAACAGAGAGAGAGAGAGAGAGCGAGAGAGAGCATGAGCGGGGGAGGGGCAGAGAGAGAGGGAGACACAGAATCCGAAACAGGCTCCAGGCTCTGAGCTCTCAGCACAGAGCCCGACGCGGGGCTCGAACTCACGGACCGCGAGATCATGACCTGAGCCGAAGTCAGACGCTCAACTGACTGAGCCACCCAGGCGCCCCCAGAAATTCTGAAAAATGAATTTCAGACATATATGTACGGATCTGGAGGGATACAGACAAGTATGGTGAAGTGGACGATTAGCTTCTTTCAAAATAAAATGATATCATATCTATATGAGAAGGTGGATGTTAGCCGAAGCCATCGTGGTGATCATTTCACAAAATGTGTACCTCAGACCTTCATGCTGTACGCCTCGAACGTACACAGTGATGGATGTCGACCCATCAAACCCACCAAACTGGAAAAAATAGAAAAAAGTGAAGGTCATTAAGATACACTCGTATGGGGGGAAATGGAATAAAAATATGAAGCCAGGAGCAAAACGAACAGAGTAAAAGAACTTAAAGTTCAGGCATTTTTTTTTTCAACTATAAGCTTGGGTATCAAAGTTCCATTATATTGAGATTCCCACAGCAACATTGGGAATGGTTCTATAATAAGTTTCCTTTTACATGTGAATTTTAAAAATTCACGGAAATTTTGTTCTTTGCCACTGTTCCAATTGATGGTGAAAAAATTTTTGCCGTTGAACCTAAAATTGTAATAGGAAACACCTAGTTTTAAAGACTCTTTTGGGGTCTGGGAGCCCATTCCTGAAATCCGCTAAGCTGCCTCCATCCATCATTTGGCTCCTTGTTTTGTTTCAGTCCCTAAAGAGTTAAGGAGCCCACAGTGTGTCCCAGTGTATCTAGTGGTGATTCTGTGACTGAATGAACCTGGCTTCTGAATCGTGTTAATCCCGATGTGCTTGATTTTAAGCTGATCGAGGGCGGAGATGGTTAATTCTAAAGGAAAGATCACTGACTCAGATCCTGTGTCCGATCATCTGTTACTAAATGGACTTGCGGATAAGGCAGAGAAAAATCAGGAAATGGTAAGTTGCCACCTGCAAATAGCCGTGTTTGAGGGCTGTCCTTGTAGACGGCGATGCTCCTGACCCGGGATGACTGCTTCTTGATCTCTCCTGCCGCGGTTGCTGATGTGATCCCCTACTTGTCCCTCTGGGGCCCATCTGGCCACCAAGTGTAGTGTAGATGTTTCGCCATAGCTGACACTGGTTGGTTGGGGTGCAGTTTCAGCCTGGGAAGCCGGGCGGGATGTTGTCCGGCTCCTGTAGGAACTGGCCTCGCTCTGGGCCCAAGGACCACCGTGCTATCCCACACCCACCACGTGGTTCCATTCCCTCACCGGCAAGCCATGCGGCACCGTTTTTTTCCCCAGAATCCAGAACGTATTTTTGATGGGAACCAAACTTGGCCTCTGAAATCAGTCTGATCTGAATTTTATCCCAATGCAAACACTTCCAGCTGTGTGATCTTGTTTCTAAGATGGCTCTTCCTCCCTGGTGTACAAGTTGGGTTCTCCATCTCTAACATGGGAATGATAACAGTATTTGCCTTCTGTGACTGTTGAGAGAGAGGTCCCTTTACTGCTGTCGTGTGTCTTAAAGTCACGGATCATCAGCCTCTTTCAAGTTCACTCCATTTTCATAATAAATGCTAAACAATATTAAACAATACTAAAAGCCACATTGAAGCACACAGAAAAATAAGAAGGTCCCCAATATAACTGTGTTTCTTGCCTGACTGTAACCGGCAGTGTATGGGGCAGTAAGAACTCATACCGTTCACACCCACCTGCTTGGCTGTAGCTTGGCCTTTTCCAGTCATGCTGAACGGTGCTGTCTTATAATCCAGAAATTCCATTTCTAGGTACAGACCTTGGTTTTCAACGTGTGGTCCCCAGACCAGCATCCTCAGCAAGGCCTGGGAAGTTTGACCTGTAAATGATTAGCCCACACATCCACCTCCCCCCAGACCTGATGAACTAGGAACTCCAGGGGTAGGGCCCACATCTGTGTTCGAATAGTGCTTCCAGGCGATTCTATTTGTGCTAAACCACTATGCAAACTTGCAGGTGCCCTCTGAGAGCCATGTTCATAATGGCGTTGTTTATGATAACAAAACCCAGAATCAACACAAGGGCCTGTGAGCCGTGGACGAATGTGTCAATAGCGGTACGCTCATGCAGCAGAATTCTGCTTAGAAGTGGGCATCAAAGCATCAAGATCTAAAAAACAGTGGCAAAACAAAGAACTGAGTCATAGGAGAAATGTATGGTATGGCCCCACTTATACAAAGTTCCAATTCAGGCAACAAGAAGCAATGTATCGCTTAGGGAAAGATGGGTAGGTGGTAAAACCGCGAAGAAGAACAAGAACGTGGTTCTCACGAGCCTCAGGATGGAGAGACCCTCGGTGGGGAGAAGGGGTAACAGCAAGAAGGTGATGGGGAAGGGTGCGTGGAGGGTCTTATGGACTGGGGTTATGTGTTTTCTTAATTCAGGTGGTTGGTACTATTATTCATGTTTTATAAACTCTTGGGAATAGGTGATCTAAAGAAATGAAAACAAAGAAGAACCCATGAGGAAGGCTGAGACGGAGGCTGGTGGGTACAAAGGTGTAGCCAGGTTTCTGGTACGACCACCATGGGGCTTTCCCTGTGGAGCTGTGCTCCACACCTTTCTGAAGTTTGTTATAGAAAAAACTGGCAGCAGACACTTGTTAAAAAAAAATGGCCAAGAGGATTTTATTCCAGCCTAATGCCACAAGGGAGAGAGACTGAGGTCAAGGTGGTACGGGAGGACAGGTGGGGATTTACAGCCAGCAGGAAGGGTGAGGGAGAGGAGAAAGAATGACTAAGGACAGGTTATCATCAAGGGGACCGGGAGAAAGAGCTTGATTAGCTTTCAAAGGTGAGGGGATTCTTTGCTAAGAAGGATTCTTTGCTAAGTCTGGGCTCAGCAGCCCAGGAAAAGCCAAGTGGAGAACAGGGCTCAAGGTGGTCAAAGAGGGCTCTCTAGCATTTGGTCAAGGAGGTCCTTGCAGAAATCTGCCAGCATTCCCTGTATACAAACTCTTGTACTCATGTACTTTGTAAGGCAGTGGTTCTTAACCAGAGGCACTTTTGCCCCTTGGAACGTGTGGCAATGTCTGGAGACATTTTGATGGTCACAACTCAGAGTGAATAATGAATAGAGGCCAGGGATTCTGCTGAATCTCCTGCAATGCACAGGACAGCCCCCAACAACAAAAGCTGACCTGGCAGAAAATATAAATAGCTTCTCACCACGAGATAAAGGAACTACCTAGTAAAACTTATGTATATTATAAAGCATATTCTCATAGTCTCTTCTTAATCAGGTTGTTTGTTTTCTTATTGTCAAGGAATTTCTTGGCAGTTCTTTATGTATGCTGGGTACAAATCCTTTGTCAAATATATGTTTTGTGAATATTTTCTCCCAGATTGTGGCTTGTTTTCCTTCTCTTAGTCTTTTTTAGAGACCAGATGTTTTCAATGTTGATGAAGTCCAATTTATCAGTTGGTTCTTTTATGAACTGTGCTTTGGGGGCCGTATCTAAGAAAACATTGCCTAACTCACAGCCATAAAGATTTTTCTCCTGTTTTCTTGTAGAAGTTCTGTAGTGTTAGGTTTTGCATTTAGGTCTATGATCTGTTGTGAGTTATTTTTTTAGTGTGGTGTGAAATATAGATACAAGGTTATTTTGGGGGGTATATATATGCCCAGTTGTTCCAGCACCATTTGTTGAAAAGCTTTATCCTTCCACTGCATTGCCCTTGCACTTTTGTCAAAATCAGTTGTCCATACATAATGTCAGTTTATTTTTGGAACATATATTCTGTTCCTTTGATCTCTTTCTCAATTTTATACCAGTATCACATTGTTTTGCTTACTGCAGCTTTTTAATAAATATTGAAATCAGTAATGTTAGCCCTCCAACTTTGTTCTTCTATTTCAAAGTCAGTTTGTTCTAAAAATGTTTTAGACCGTTTATATTTATTGTGATTGTTAATGAAGTTTGAGAAGATCATTTTGCTATTTATTTTCTATTTTCCCTGTCCTTTATTTCCCCTTTCCTCTTTTTCTACCTTCTTTTGAATTAATCACTACATTTTTGATGATTCTATTTTATTTCCTTTGTTGATTTACTAAATGTGCCTATTTTAGGGTTTATATTTTACATATTTAACTTGTCAAGTCTAACTTGAAGTGATAGTAAATAACTTGATATTTAAAATTTTTTTAATGTTTTTTTAATTTATTTTTGAGACAGAGAGAGACAGAGCATGAGCAGGGGAGGGGCAGAGAGAGAGGGAGACACAGAATCTGAAGTAGGCTCCAGGCTCTGAGCTGTCAGGACAGAGCCCAACGTGGGGCTTGAACTCACAGACTGTGAGATCATGACCTGAGCCGAAGTTGGCTGCTTAACTGACTGAGCCACCCAGGCACCCCTATAACTTAATATTTAAATAAGAACCTTACAATTGTATGCTTCCATTTGTCTCCTCCTAGCCTTCATGTTGATTTTGTCATGAATTTTAATTTGACTTATAAGCCCCACAATGTATTGTTATTTTTGTTCAGTCATATATCTTTTAAGGATATGTAAGTTACTTTTAAAAAATGTAGTAGTTACCATTTCTGGTGTAGATTCCTTTGTGTGGATTCAGATTTTCATTCAGAATCATTTTCCTTCTGGCAGAAGGACTTCTTTAACATTTCTTGTAGTGCCAATGCTGGTGATGAATTCATTCACTTTTTTATGTCTGAAAAAAACTTCATTTGCTTTCATTTTTAAAAAAGGTATTTTGGCGAGGTATAGAATTCTAGGATGATGGATTTTTTTTTTCCCTCCAGTATTTTAAAAAGGCTATTCCACTATCTTCTTATTTGTATTGTTTCTGATGAGAAATCTGCTATAAATTTCATCTTTGCTCCTCAATGTGTAACGTGTTCTCCGGCTGCTTGAAATATTTTCTCTCTGTCAGGGGTTTTGAGCTATTTGACTATAATCTGCCTTGATGTAGTTTATGTACCTTATGTTTGGGGTTCATTGAGCTTCTTGGGTCTTTGAGTTAATTGTTTTCAAGTGTGGGGAATTTTTACCTATCATTTCTTTAAATAGTTCTTTGTGTTCCTTTCCCACTCTCTTTTGGGATCTCTTCTCACCTATTGTGATAGGTTGATTGAAGTTGTCTGTCTCTGATGGAACATGACCCGCAGGCCATGACAGAATTCTTTGATTCTGCTTTCTTCAGGGACTCAAGAAGAGCCTATGTAGCCAGTATGAGGAGAAAGTGCGCCCCTGCATTGACCTCATCGACTCCCTTCGTGCCCTGGGCGTGGAGCAGGACCTGGCCCTGCCCGCCATCGCTGTCATCGGAGACCAGAGCTCGGGCAAGAGCTCAGTGCTGGAGGCCCTGTCAGGGGTCGCCCTTCCCAGAGGCAGCGGTAAGAACTTGCTCTCTGTTTTTTTTTTTTTTAATTTTTTTTTTTTCAACGTTTATTTATTTTTGGGACAGAGAGAGACAGAGCATGAACGGGGGAGGGGCAGAGAGAGAGGGAGACACAGAATCGGAAACAGGCTCCAGGCTCTGAGCCATCAGCCCAGAGGTAGGTCTGAGTATATGTACTTGCACCCCCAGCCCAGAACCACATACATGTGGGTGTCTTTCCCGAGCCCCTTCTCAAGAGGTGACCTTCCAAATGGGAGGTAAAGATTGGTGCTCTGATTAGTGGTGCTATTTGAGTGCCAAGGTCAAGGGATCGGTGGGGCCCCAGGGGAGAGCGGGCAGACCTGAGATGGGCCTTGAAGTACAGGTCAGATGTAGGAGAGGGTGGGGTCTGGAAGTTTACGGCAGGGGGACGTGGTCAGGGGGCCTGGTGAGGGCAGTATGTGTTCCTGATGGTATGGGTATATCCTGGGGGATAGCGGAGGACATTTACCAGAGTCTGGGGGTTTCCTATGAGAGTGTGCCACCCGAGCTGATGGCAAAACATGAAGCGAGAAGCCGAAAGTGATGGCTCTCAAGCATTAGTGAGCAAAAAATTACCTGGAATGCATACTCAAAATGCATATTTCTAAGGCCGCCCCAGACCTAATGCATCCGAGTGTCAGACAAGGGGACCAGGCGCTTTTAGCAGCCTGCCCAGATGATTATAGAAAAGTTTGCACAGCATTGATCTCAGGCCACCGTCTAGGACTCTTGAGAGCAGAGTGCAGGACTGATGTGGACGTGGCCTCCAGGTATTGTCACAAGGTGTCCTCTGGTGCTGAAGCTGAAGAAGCTCATGAATGAGGATGAATGGAGAGGCAAAGTCAGCTACCAGGACTTTGAGACGGAGATTTCAGACCCTTCGGAGGTGGAGGAGGCAATCAATACAGGTAAGTGCCCCACATTTGTTCGCTATCACCTGTTTGGACATCTGGCCACCTGGGTGAGGGAGGAAGGGGTCCATCTGTCACTGTCCCCCTCTTCCCTTTCTGGGCCTGTCCTGTTCTCCTGGGGGCCTCCCTCCGGCCCTCATCTGCATCAGGCCCCGGCTCCCTTGTGTTTTCTCTTCTTTTACCCTCAGTAAGACCAGCGCTTTGGACAGAATCTGACCTCAGCAATTACTTGCTTAGTATGTAAATAAGCATCGGAGAGTAATGTGGACTTTAAAATTTAAACAAGGAGTATCTGTCCCTTATTCAAAGGCTTCCCCACTCCACAGATCTGATGGAAGAAGAATTGGGTGTGGGGCCAGGGAACCCCTTTCCCCGTTAGCCTCATAAAAGGCATCCTGGACCATCCCCGAACCCTCTCTGGAAGCATCTCATAGGCCTTTTCCTCTGCATGTGTTTGCATAATCCCAGCTCGGGTTGACCTACGGTGCGTCTCAGTGAATGCCAGCCACAGAGACAGAGATCACCCTGTCCCCATGAAGCATCCGAAAGGAGAGATAACACGCGGAGGACATAAGCACAAGTAGTGGCAGGGTTGGCTGCGGCTGAGAGTGAGCAAGGCGGATAGATAATCTCTGCCACGTGGACCTTCGCTTCTTCCTAGTGTGTCACAGCCTAGTCTCAGTCATTTGGGGAGCAGAAGTGGCAAAGAATGAGCTTGGCTCTTAAGAAGGTAGCAGCCACTTGGGATGGGCACTGGGTGTTGCATGGAAACCAATCTGACAATAAATTGTATTAAAAAAAAAAAGATAGAAGCACCAAGTTGCATTTATAGACTGTTTTACAAAAGTTGAAGGATGCTTTTACAGTCCGAACGTCATTGTGTGATTGTTGGGCTTAGATTGGCTCCAGGGGCAGAGCACTCAAAACCGCTGTGTGTACCCCTCTCCCTTGCTGTGTAACAACGCTATCTCAAAGCCCAGTGGCTTGGAAGCATTGGTTTCTTGAGATTTGGTGATCAGCCGGGCAGTTCTTTCCCTCCAGCTGGCTTGGCTGGGGCCAACCGTCGAGGATGGCCTCGGTCACATACCCAGGCCCTGGGCTGGAAAGACCAGGCCTTCTCCCCATGCGGTGGCCATCCTCCTCCAGGAGGCCAGGCTTGGCTTTTTGGGTGGTGGCGGACGGGTTCCTGGCAGGAAGGGAGGAGGATCCCCCAGGCGCAAGGTCTCAATCTCTACTGGAGTCCATTCTGTGATGTCCTGTCAGCCACGTGCCAAGCCCGAGGTCGAGGGACAGACTCTCCGGTTGGGAGAAGGTCGCCCTGGAGAGGAGTGTGCGTGCAGTGACGGACGGGAATACCGATAAATAAATTTAGATCTTGAAATTGTCATCGTTACGGAGGCAGGAGCCAAATGAGGTCCCTCGATAGGATGTCAATGCCAGGGCTCGTTTTGCTCAAAACTAGCACGTTCCCCTCCATCATTTCCCAAACCCTGCCCCAGCGTGCCCATGTGTTTTTATTTGCTTTCATTTTGCTTTGTTGTTAATCTCCTAGTGACGTCAGGGGAAGGATTTAGGCGCTATGCCAGGAAGAGCTCAGGTCGGCCCCGCTCTGGCCTGGTGCAGGTGCATCTTTAGAGATGTTTCTCTTGCTCTCTCCACAAACAGTTCTGGCCACTGGCAGGAAGAACCCTGAATTGTCCTTTGGGTTTCCTTTTAGCCCCGGAAAAGTGAATCTGCTCCAGATATGCCTTATCCAAGCACGGCAGGTAGAAGGTGCTTTCGGAGGATTTGCTATAGGGAGATGCTTGTACTGTACGCTCTATTCAGGTTTTCTCGTTTCCCCCTTCCCTAGCCCAGAATGCCATCGCCGGGGAAGGACTGGGGATCAGTCATGAGCTAATCAACCTGGAGGTCAGCTCCCCTCATGTCCCGGATCTGACCCTGATAGACCTCCCTGGCATCACCAGGGTGGCTGTGGGCAATCAGCCGGCCGACATCGGACGCCAGGTACAACCTCGGTCTGGGGGGGACCGGGGCCGTGCCCTGGACAACAGCGAGTTCCGGGCTGAGTTGGGAGGGTGGATATCAGGAGGTGTGAAGGGGTGGGCTCGTGGCCTCCACCAAGTCAGATGGAGATGTTCTGGGGAGCGCGAGGCAAGGAGGCAGAACTGGAAATCCATTTTACAGTGTTTCGGTTTTATACGGGGACCCATTTTTGGTTAGAGTTACATCTCGTGGCGTATCTAAGCTGGCGTGTACAGGAAGGGGTTTTATGTGGGGAGAGAAAGCATTAGCAACAGATATGATGGCATTTTCATGTTGGCAAATGTTACCCAAGAGATTTAAGATCTAGGGCACCGTCATGCACTTTGTGGCATCTTCTCTTTCCCTGCGGTTGTCCTCTGTGGAATCCTGGGAGATAGTTAATGAGCTAAGGTCTGGCGGTTTTCCCCAGACCCCAGAGCTCCATTTCTGCCACGGGAGACTTGGTTTCTTGTAACTCTGGCTTGGGATATGCTGCAGGCTTGTTTCTTTCGGGGAGATACCCCTGGGACTTGGAGGTCCCAAAGCAAGGGCAAGGTCGGGACCTGTCCCTGCCCTCATACGCCTTCATTTTCTCACAGACCAAGCAACTCATCAGGAAGTACATCGTTAAGCAGGAGACGATCAACCTGGTGGTGGTCCCTTGCAATGTGGACATCGCCACCACAGAGGCACTGAGCATGGCTCAGGAGGTGGACCCTGATGGAGACAGGACCATAGGTAAGAAGAGGGAAGAACCTAGAAACCATAGGAGGGCTTTACTTGGCCGTGGGCTCAGCAAATGATGCCTCTGGTCTCGGCCGGACCCGTGTTTCCCCAAGCGTGGGCCAAGCCCCATCTGCACCAGAAGTAAATGGAGAATGTTTAGAAGTGCTAGTCGGGTGCCTAGGCGGCTCAGTCGGTTGAGCATTGGACTTCGGCTCAGGTCACGATCTCGCGGTCCGTGGGTTCGAGCCCCGCGTCGGGCTCTGGGCTGACAGCCCAGTGTGCCTCACTGGGAAGGTGGAGAGTCATCGCAATAGAGCATGAACTCTTCGACTGGGTAGAAGGGAAATTAAATGGCCGTCACATGCTGCTGTGTCTCTGGCATGAGGGCCAAGCCCTGGGTGAAGCAAGCCCCCCACAGCTGCCTGGAGGGGCATGCCATCTTCCTGGGGCCTGAGCTATAGTTCTGTCACTGGCCAGGGGCTCCACCTCAAACCGTGGACTTGGGGGTTGGGGGTGCCGTCGTGTCCCCACGAGCAAGGCTGAGAGGTAACTGCGAGCGTTCTCTGATGGAAAGTCTCCGGCTTGCAGGCATCTTGACAAAGCCTGACCTGGTGGACAGAGGCACCGAAGACAAGGTGGTCGACGTGGCACAAAACCTCGTCTGTCACCTGAAGAAGGGCTACATGGTCGTCAAGTGCCGGGGCCAGCAGGACATCCAGGACCAGCTGAGCCTGGCCGAGGCTCTGGAGAAAGAGAGAGTCTTCTTTGAGGACCACCCACATTTCAGGTACCTGGGCCGTGTTTCCGCAAAGGGCAAACCAAAACGTAGGCCCTCCATTTCTCCTGGGGAACATGGCTGCCGCCCAAAAGCAGACGTTCGCAGTGAGTGTGTGAGTGTGTCTATACCTTGACAATGCCCGTGGGATTTGCCCAGGAGAACAAAAGAGGAACTGACAAAGTACAGCAGAAAATAGACCTCCACAACCAGATGAGGAGGGAACTGGCTACGACAATTGAAAATAAATTAAATAGAAACACAAATACCGGAAGAAAACATAAATGCCTCAGAATAGAAAAATAATTAGAAAGTTCAGAAATTGACCCAGAGACATGCATTTGCTATATGATAAATGTGGCCTTTCCAATCGCGGGCCACATCAGTTTGATTATCTATCAGTCAGGGGCACTGGGGGAAATTGTAAATTTTATGTTATGTACCTTTTACCACAACTTTTAAAAATTGACAGATGTGGAGACCAGAGCCCAGCTGTGAGTGTACTTTGACAAACAGGCATGCCTTTTATCCTAAAAAGTTCTTTAAACTATAAAGAATCTATAATAACTCGGCGAACGCAGATTTGGATAGAGCGAGGATAGGCCTTCCTTCCTCCAAGCAGCCCATGGTTTAGGTTCTTGTCTTGGGGAAGGGTGTGTCCCATAGTTCAATGTCATCCATATACCTACGTAGGTACGTGTCGGGGTATTTTTGTGAAATCCTATGCCGACATGCATTACGTAGACTTATGTGCATATTACCTACGTGAAGAAGGGTGTGTGTGTTATGAAAACATATCCATAGGTGACCAAGCGTATCTTTATAAAGACCAGTTCTGTAGTCAGATGTCATGAGACATATTTAAAAAGATGTTTTTAAATGTTTATTTATTTTTGAGAGAGAGAGAGAGAGAGAGACACAGTGTGAGCAGGGGAGGGGCAGAGAGAGAGGGGGACACAGAATCCGAAGGAGCTGTCCGCACAGAGCCCGACGCGGGGCTCGAACCCACGAACCGTGAGATCATGACCTGAGCCGAAGTGGGACACTTGACCGGCTGAGCCACCCAGGCGTTCCAAATGTCATGAGCCATATTTAATGTCTCAGCTGGAAGGGATCCCTCTATACCATTTCTTAAAGAAAGCTTTTTATTTTAGTCCCGGTCAGCTGACATACAGTGTTATATGAGCTTGAGGTGTACAATTCTCTCCAACTCGATGCCATTTTTGAAGTGTCCGAAATAATGAAGACCCTGCCTTCGTTCCGCGCAGGGCAATTCTGCACATCTGTTGGGTACCCGCGGCAGGGCGCTCCATCCACCTGGGAATAACTGGACTAGCCTTGCCTTTCCCTGTAGCAGAAAGCCGGCTTGCGTTTTCTGGCCACACCAGCATGGTTGTGCATGTCGTGTTCTCTTCTCCGTCCGCAGGGTTCTCCTGGAGGAAGGAAGGGCCACCGTGCCCTGTCTGGCGGACAGACTGACCACTGAACTCATCATGCACATCTGCGTAAGCACATGTAGAGCCGTCCGTTCTCTGACTCGAGTCCCACAAACCCAGAGCCAACCCGCGCGGGCTCGCTCACCGTCCGCGCGCACACACATCTCCCCGGGGATCTCGTTAAGGTGCAGGCTCAGGTTCGGCGGGTCTGGAGCACAGCTTGGGATCCTCGAGCAAGCTCCCGGACGGTGTGTGACTGCGGCACCACATGTTGGGCGGGACCTGATAGACTACATCCGCTTGGCCTAAAATCTCATGCGCCCTGCACGAACCTGTTCCTTTCTCGTTGCCAGCCGCTACGGCAATGGCTTGACGATGGTCATGGTCATAGATTTCATACTTTAAATCTCTCCGTGGTTCTTTTTCAAGTTTGTCTGGACAGAATTCCTTTCTCTTTCACCTGTGCGGTCCCTTAAAAAGGTTTCCTTTGCACGTATTTCTGTTGTACGCAGCGCTCGAGGAGTCCAGTGTCAGGTGCACTGGGTCCTGGTAGCCATCACCCACAATGACCTGGGCTAGGGTTTCCACCCTGGGCCTATCCTTTCTGGAACTTGATCTGTGGGTATTCATGGAAGCCCAGGTTCAGAATCGGTTTCTCCAGGGAGGTGCAGCCTCCGGCCTGAATCATTTTAGATTCTCAGCTCGAGGCCTGGGGGACCCCTCAGGGAGTATGAATTTGGGCAGCAGACCTGTTTGAGGGCTGGCTTGCGGTTACAGATTTTCGGCAGAGATTTTATGTCCTTCCGCTCAGCACCGAGTTCAGTCCCCAGGAATGGGGACAGAGGGCACGGTTGTTCCTAGCTCTTTGGGGTCCCAGCTTTGTAGAGTAAGAAGACGTTGGCTCGTTAGAGTCCCTGCCTCGAGCAAGCCCACCGGGATTTATTCGTTGCCCCAGCACCAAGTGAGGCTCTGAAACATCACCTCAATTTTTCTTTCCTACAAATGCCCTGCGAGGCCAAATCTGGCTGTACTCCCGCTCTCCCCGTTCGCCCCTGGGCACCGGTGTCACCTGTCTGTGGCTCTGAGTACCTGCCAGCTCATGGATACACTTCAAGGGATGCTTTCGATGTGCCAGCCAGCATTTTTTGATGTTTGCGGTGGAAGAGGGCGCTAGCATGCGCCATCCACCGTGTCGTCAGAGACAGAAGTCCCTGAAAACTTTAAATCTGTTCACAAAAGTTGTTGAATCTCAAATTGTCCCAACTGCTGCTTTTTCAGAGCCCACAAGACAGGTGGCCCTTTCTAATGTCCCTGCAGATCATAGAAGGAGCTCTTCCTGGCGTTGCTTGGACAGGATGCAGGAACCGTGCAGAGTGGCCACCTTGGCATGTCCCTGAGACTGTCCCCCCTCCCCCCAGGAGTGGGAATGTGGGGAGGCCTGGGCGGAGTCAGTGCCCGCTAATGTGCCTCCCTCTCCACCTTCGCTCTAGAGGAAGCCAGGAGGTCAGGTGTAGGGTGCAGGTGGCCTGGGGGCTCCAGCTCCTTCCCTGTCCGTATTTATGTCTTTGCATTCTTTTCTGTTTTCCTCAGAAATCTCTGCCCCTGTTAGAGAATCAAATAAAGGAGAATCATGAGAAAATAACAGAGGAATTACAAAAGTATGGCTCAGATGTACCAGAAGACGAACACGAAAAAATGTTTTTTCTGATAGATGTGAGTATTGCCTGTAGCATCGAGTCGGAGAGTCACACATCATTGTCCAGAAAGGGATCGTGTGCCTCATGCACTTTTCTCTCACTCCCCGAAAGCCGACCCAGGCTCACTGTGCCCATTTAACACCAAAGAGGGGCCAGTGCGGAGGGACAATGGGCAGTGACAGATGGTCACATTTGCCGTATGGATTGCTTATCACGCATGCTCACCCGAGACCCCGAGGGCGGTTGGGGGTGTGGGAGGGTCTGGTACCCCTGTCACGTGGTGAGGAGTCACTTGCCCACCCTCAGCCTACACACGGCCTCCAGACCACCCCACTTGTATCTGGAACATCTCCGCTTATACGTACGTTTTCCTTCTTAACAGAAAATCAATGCGTTTAATCATGACATCACCTCTTTAATACAAGGGGAGGAGTCTGTGGGGGAGGGTGAGAGTCGGCTGTTCACCAAAATCAGACATGAATTCCACAAGTGGAGCACCGTGATTGAAAAGAAGTTCCAGAAAGGTGAGTGCCAGGCACCACCGTAGGTCTGGCGAGGTGGGTCAAGGCGGGTGGTGCGGATGGTGAGGAGAGCTGGAGGAGGGGTGTGTGGGGGCCGCCTTTGCTCTGCCCCACGTCACTGAACTCAGGCCAGCCAGCGCCTGCTGCAGACTTCGGAGGACACCTAGAGAGAACACGCAGAGGAATCCGCCCAAGTCCGCCAGGGCTTCGACCAGAATCAGCCCTCCCGCAACAGTAGCGGGTCAACATGGCGCCCACCACTGCCTCATGCTCTTCGTGGTCAGCTGGCCGTGGCCTTGAAGCCCGTGTGTATCTCAGTGGATTTTGCAGCTGCAGCAGCGATACAGGGGAAACGAAACATAGCCTGGACACCATCGCTACACCACCAAATTCTCAAGGGTCCGAAAAAGGTGGAGAGTGTGACCTGAAGTTAATTTTTTTAATATTTCGAGATGCTTGAAGTCAATCATATACTGGCCAGTGATAAAGCGGCAGCAGCTGAGGGGAATTTTAAGTGACTTTGCTTCTACTCGGGCAGCTTGGTGGCGGGTTCCATAATGTACCTTGAGCTGACTGGAGGTTCCGACTGGCCGCTGTCCTTGGCTTTGAGTAATGAACGTGAGAGGATACATCGTGCCATTGTTGACATAATTCGACGGCCACGCCTTTCAGTCGTTTGTTCGTTGGCAGAGGGCATGGAGGGCAGGACGAGATAAATGACAGTGTTCCCTGGTGGAAGACTGGGGCGGTCACTTGCCACTTGCCATCTCTGCGCCACTCCCAAGCTGCTGACCATGCTGCGGGAAGACAACAGTCCTTCGCTTCCAGCAACCCCCCTTGTGCATGGCTCAGCAGCTTATTACAGCATGCGGCCCATGAGAAAATAGCTCTCATTTTAAGATGCTAAATTCCTTCCAACAAGTTATCAGTTGCACGTCACTGGGTTCCCACATGCAAGAAAATGCATTTGGACCCCTAACTCACCCCCTGTACAGAGATAAACTCAAAATGATCAGAAACCAAACTGTGAGCACTGAAACTATAAAACTCTTAGAAGAAAACCTGGATTCTAACCTTCGTGGCCTTGGATGAAGAGGCGGTGTTTGCATAGGACACGACATCACAGGCGACAAGAGAAGTAACAGACAAGGGGGACTTCATCAGAATAAACAACGTGTGTGGGTCAAAGCGCGCCACCCCCACGCACAGAACCGGAGAAAATGCAAGTCACGCATCTGACAAGGGTCCAGTGCCCAGAATATACAAAGAACTCTTACAGCTCAACAACAAAAAGCCAAATAATCCAAGTTAAAGTGGACGAAGGATGAGAATAGACATTTCTCTAAAGAGAAGACACACAAATGGCTTCTGGGCTCACGAGTAGGCGCTCAGCGTCATTAGCCGTCAGAGAAATGCAAACCAAAGCCACGGGAGACCCCATCTCACACGCAGTAGGGTGGCTGGTATGTTAACGTACCCGTGTATTGGTCTGCTAGGGCCGTCCCAACAGAGCACAACAGACTGTGTGTCTTAAACGACAGAAACTTACTTTCTTACAATTCTGGAGGCTGGAAATCCAAGGTGCCAGCATGTTTCAATTCTCCGGAGCCCTCTCTCCTTGGCACGTAGACATCACCTTCTCCGTGTGTCCTCCATGGTCTTTCCTGCACGGCTCTGTGTCCTGCTTTCTTCCTATAAGGACACCAGTCAGATTGGAGTTCAGTCCACACCAATGACCTCATTTCAGTGCAATCTCCTCTTCAGAGGTCCCGTCTCCAGACACAGTCACATTTCCTAGGTGCTAGGGGTTAGGACTTTAACATACCAATTTTGGAGAGATACAATTCAGCCTGTGACAGCAGATGATAGAAAATGTTCAGCCATGGAAAAGCATGAAGGACGAAACATGCTGCAACATGGACGAACCTTGAAGACACTGTGCTGAGTGAAGGAAGCGAGACGCAGAAAGCCACATGTGTTTTGGTTCCATTGATATGAAATGTCCGGGACAGGCGTGTCCCTAGAAATAGAGAGTAGAGGAGTGGTTTCCAGGGGCTGGGCAGGGGGAGGGAAATGGGGAGGGAGTCCTGATAGGGCGCAGGGTTCCTTGGGGCGATAGAAGTGTTTGAGAATAAGCTACTGGGGACGGTTGCACAATTTTGTTAATGTACTAACAAACACTGAGCTCTACGCTTGACTAGGTTGAATTTAATGTTTTATTTTTGAGAGAGAGCAGGGGAGGGGCAGAGTCTGAAGCAGGCTCCCGGCTCTGAGCTGTCATTACAGAGCCCGATGTGGGGCTCGAACCCACGAACCGTGAGATCATGACCTGAGCCGAAGTCAGGTGCTTAACCGACTGAGCCACCCAGGTGCCCTGACTAGGT